TAAAATAAAATAAAATAAAATAAAATAAAATAAAATAAAATAAAATAAAATAAAATAAAATAAAATAAAATAAAATAAAATAAAATAAATGACAATTTAAGATTGCTGGATATTTTGTGATAGTCTAATAATGTTTTCCGTGTTTTAAGGGGTCAAAAAATTTCCAGATATCTATTAAAATATGTAAAAACACATACACGAAGAGATCTTATGATAAAATAATGATAAAGCAAAATATTTAATATCAAATAATGATCAACTGCAAAACAGGGACAGGTTGATACGAATTTACATATAATGAAGATTTTTTTGTCATATCTTGACATGACATAACAAAACTTATGTACGCTTCCTCTAGTAAGACTTTTATGAAAAATCCTGTTGCATTTGCAATTTAGTTCAAGAATAATTATTTATTCTGTTTTGAATTTGTGCTTTAGGTGATTAGCAAAAAAAGACCCAAATTTCTAATTTCATATCTTGTGCACTGCTTTTAGAAACTGTTCTTGCTGCAAATAGACCATTTCATGGATCCCATTACTCAACCTCAGCCTCGTCAGCGTGTAATATATTCTTTAGAAATTGCCCACAACCTGTGAAATTTTTGTTTTTCAATTGTTCGTTGATGTGTAAATTCCTTTCATTACTGCGGACTGTAGTCAAATTCTAAAGAATAATTACACGCTGACGAGGCTGAGGTTGAGTAACGGGATCCGTGAAATGGCCTATTGCACCAAAAAGCGATTCATTATCACATGCTTCTTAGTTTCAAGTTTTTTTCAAAATCAGAAAAATGAGCATTAGTGGGTTTTTAAATTCTCCGTACACCGTTCTCATAATGGCTGACATCTAACTTGGCAGTAACTTGGTTCTTAAAATGGCTTTCTCAATTTCTTCATGGAAGCACTGAGATCATCTAGGTTTGTTAATCTATAAAAGTTTATGTCTTGCTTGTCTTTTCTTGCAAAACTAATGAAACCAAAATACATCTCTTGCCTTCTCTCATATCTCACAACTATTTTACACTAAGTCTTGTGTTATCTCTTGGTGTAGGCAACTGGAGGACTTGAAAACGAACCAGCTTGCTTTTTTCCAAATCCTCCTCGTCCTGGGTCATAATCTTCTCTGTATTCATCACGTACCTTTAAAATATGACAATTTGGATGAAATACAAAAAAAAGGGATTTTTTTGAATCTATTCTTTTTTTGCTCATGACTTCGTAGCTGCCATATTGGTTGAATTTAACGAAAGAATTAACGATGAATCCTCTTCTTATATCAACCAAGATGGCAGCCATGTCTTTTGTTATTTCACTCCCTTGGGAATGATCGGAAAACCAGTAATGGCAGGGGCTCCAATAGACCCAACGCATGCGCATGTGACATACTTTCCCCCTCCTTCCCTTCCCCCACAGTACCACCCTTGCTTGCTCTTAGTTCTCAAGAAGATATGGAATTCTTACTTGTCCTCCACTCTTTCCTCTGCCATACTGACGCCCTTCAGCAAAACCTTGGTCAAAATCAGTACGAATTATACGGTTATCAAGGCGAGTGCCATTTATATATCTATTAGCATTGAATGCATCCTCTCTTGTGTAATATCTGAAGATTATTAAGTGTAAAAGCTAACAAATGTAGAAGATTGCTCTATCAAAGTATGAACATGAAGTATCATCATTATGCATCATCATCATCTCCATGTATCATCATCATTAATGCATCCTTAACATCATTATGTATTTTCATCATCATCATATATCATCATCACATCAACATCAATTATCATCATCATGTTCCATCATCACCATCATCATGTATCATTCTCATATATCTACAAAGCTTTTCGCTGTTGTATCATAGCATGGGACAATCACAACAGAGCTAGGCTTCAAACTAAGTGAAAGCCCAAAGATCGAATTAGAATTTAGAAGTTGGTTTTTGAGGAGGGAGGAAAACTGGAGAACCGGTTATCTTTGCAAGATATCATCACCATTATCATCATCTCCACACATCTCAAAGATATTATAAATCATACTTCAACAGCATATGATAAACCATACGTACAATTATTCCCTGGTTTAAACAACAGGTACAAAGGATACTCTATAAAACAAAACCCACATGGCGTTTTCTTTATCTTGTCCAGCCCCATAACTACTCTCTTAATCTCCCCTACTCGTGAAAAAAGCTCATAAATCTGTTCCTCGGATGTGTAAAACGATAAATTCCCCACGTATAATGTACTGCTGGTTTCTAAAAGTCTCTCGAGGTCTTGTCTACTTCCCTAAACAATAAAAGAAAAACAAAATCAACAAGACTAAATTGGCTAAGAAAGAAGCAGCAATAATAACAATAATAATTGCCTGATTTCATCCAAAATCTTACAATCGATACATTTAAAGTTACTGAACCTCGCTATAATTTTCTTAAGCACAATGAAAAAAAAAAAAACTTAGTAATATCGGACTTTTTACCTTGAAGTGTTGATCACGATATGCACTCAGTTCCGCCATCTTGAAAATAACTGCGCATGTACAATGGAAAACACAGCTGTCCAAATGCATTGCATGTTCAACTCACCCCAGTCCCACTCCCTTGTGGCGCTAATTTTGTTTTCACTTTCGGTTTTGTTTTTCTACGTAAAATAAATTCCCCCAGCAAAAATTCCCCGAAAAAATGGCATATATTTTCGCTATTTTCGAACGAAAGCTCATTGAATAAAGAAAATGAGTCGGTCATATGCTGTTAAAGGTTCCTACGCCAGTCAAAGTGGCGCTAGACCAAGAAGAACGGTGAATAATGATGGCATGTTGCAGCAAGAAAGAGCAGAGTTTTCTGGTGACCAACAAGATGAGTCTACACAAGAAGCACAAGCAAATCCACCAGCAAATGAAAGATACCAAAGGTATACTTCCTTTTTTAACTCTCTGGTCGTTTATTCTTGTGATTATAAGCTTTATCAGCTCGATAGATTTGTGCGCGTACATCCAGAAAATACTAACTTTGTGGAACACGAAATCAGTGATGTCTAATTTAGCTTAGAACTGTTAGGTTGGAACTGACAGGGAATTGAAGTATGGCTTCATATGAATAATATGGTTCTGTTGATGACTGCAGGAGAGAGGCTTATACTGTGATTGCACCAAAAGAAGATAAAAGACAACACCTCCTACGAAGTAAGCCGTCTTTATTACTAATATAGTAATAATACCTTAATAAGAATTACCAGCTATTCAGCTATAGAGCCAACTTACATTCCATGGRCTTCAGGGAGCTGATTAATATTTAACGGGAATGCAAGGAAAAAAGACTGAATCAAACTCGGAAATAAATGGCTGCGGGAATGCAAGGAAGCGATTACATATTTGTCCTAGATATATGCTTTGTTATAGCGTACCTTGGTACCACATTATATCTCACTTGTCACTTGCATGGTGTTGGACACGAGTTTTGTTTGCATGTGTAGAAAGCAGTTGTACCTGATACCAAATCTTGGGTCCCGGGGGGTGGGGGGTACTCCACCAGGATAATTTATAGCCTTTTCTGAGTTTGATGATCAAGGTGCATTATGGCCTACCTTGGGTACAAACAAAACCATATAAGGCATCATTAACAAAAGATGTTTGTACCAAAGCTAAACCACAATGCACCATCTTCACTATCCAAGAGTTGGCATTTTATAGCAAATATAATTATATTTTGAAATAATTACTTAGAAATTGTCTTAAATGTTGGTGTTGAAATTCAAACTAAGATCATTCTTCTTCCAGTTCAAAAGGAAGAGGAAGAAACTGCAAGAAGACGGAAAGAAGAAAAAGCAAAAAAAGCCATCAGGATTACACCCAGACCTGTTGGAGGACCAAAGATTTCACAAAGAGAATTTATTGAACATCAGCAAAAAGCAGCAGATAAATCTCCTACAGCAAGAGCTATTGAAATGAGGGTATGACATACTTATTCATCTTCAAACCTTCAAATTTTATCAAACCATGATATAATTGGGCCATCCATCCATTCATTCATTTAATCAACAACCCACCTACTACCAATATCCTTCCTTGAGTCCATTCTTTTATTTATATGTTCATCCATCCATCCATCCATCCATCCATCCATCCATCCAT